TCTCTGTCTATCTCCTGTACCAGGCCATGCATCGCCAACCAGTGCCAATGCCAATGCAATGCCAATGGGGGAATCCTTTCGCTCGGTGGATTTCAATCAGAATCCTTTTTGGATGATGTCATTACGGATGTTTCTTCGGGGGAGAACAATAGGAATGCTTATGTGGACGGTTTCGATACGGATCCTCCTTTGGAGATTTTCGGTCGGAGTTCTTCTTATGGGAGATTCAATAGGAATCCGTCTTGTGGAAGGTTTCAGTAGGTGTCCGTCTGCGGAGGGAGCCATTTGGACTCGCCAGCGCAATGCCAACGCAGTGTCATCGCAATCCCGAACCAATGCCCCAAGCGATCCCAATCCAACGCCATATGGGGGGTATTCTTCTAATATGTTCCAAAAGGAATCCAACCTGTGGAGGGTTTCGATTGGAATCCTTCTGTGTGGGGGTCCAATATGAATCCTTCGTGCGGGGGCTTTCATAGGGATCCCGTCTTGTGAAAGGTTTTAAGAGGAACCCTTCTGTGGGGTGGCATTAAAACTCGCCAGCGCAGTGCCAAAGCAGTGCAAACACAATGCCAAACCAATGCCACGGCGATACCAATGGAATGCCAATGTAGCGCCAATGGGGGGGGGTCGTCTGTGGTAGATTTCAATCGCAACCTTGCTAAGAACCCTTCTGTGGATGATGTCATCCACAGGGGAAACCTTCTAAGAACCCTTCTTCGGGGGGGGGTCAATTGGAAACCTTCAGTGGAGGGCTTCGAATGGAACCCTTTATGCGGAGGAGTTCTATTTGGATCCTTCCTGTGGGGGGATTCGAAAGGCATCCTTCATGTGGGGGCGCTCAGTTAGAATCCTTATGTGCAATGTTTAATCAAGACTCGCCAGCGCAATGCCAGTACAATGCCAACGCCGTGCCAACGCACTGCCATCGCAATGCCAACGCAACGCCCATGCGATACCAAACCATTGCCAAACCAATGCCAATGCAATGCCGATGGCGGGATTCCTGTCTTCCAACAGGTGTCAATAGAGATCCTTATGGCACGATTTGGTTACGGATCCTTCTTCGGAGGATTTCGATCGGAATCCTCCTGTGGAGGGTTTCGATTGGAATCCTCCTGTGGAGGTTTCACCACGAATCCTTCGTGAGGGGGCGGTCAAGGGGATCGACCCCTTATTGTGGAAGGTGTTACTAGGAATCCTAGTGTGTGGGGGGGGCATGAGAACTCGCCAGCGCAATGCCAACACAATGTCAAACCAATGCCAAGGCGATCTCAATGTAATGTCACTTCGACGCCAATGGTGGAAGTCGTTTGTGGTCGGTCTCAGTTGGAATCCTTGAATGGAGGGTTTCGCATGGAATCCTTCCGTGAGGAAATTCAATATGAATCCCGATTGTGGAATGATTCAATCGGAATCCCTTTACTGTTTGGTGGTTCAATCGGAATCCGTATGCGAAGGGGGGCATTGGAACTCGACAGCGCAATGCCAACGCAATGCCAAAGCAGTGCCAACGCAATGCCAAACCAATGCCAAGGCGATCTCAATGTAATGCCGATTCAACGCCACTGGGGGAAATCGTTTGTGGTCGGTCTCATCTGGAATCCTTCAATGGAGGGCTTCGCATGGAATCCTTCCGTGAGGAAGTTCAATATGAAACCCTGTTGTGGAATGGTTCAATGGGAATCCCTGTACTGTGGGGGGTTCCATAGGAATCATTATGCGAAGGGAGGCATTGGCGACAGCGCAATGTCAACGCAATGCCAAAGCAGTGCCAACGCAATACCAAACCAACGCCAAGGCGATCCCAACCCAATGCCAAACCAGTGCCATTTGGTGACATCCTTTGTGTTACTCTCAATAGGAATCCTTATATACAGGACTTCGCATGGTATCCTTCCTTGGAGGGTGTCAATATGAACCCTTGTTGCGGAGGGTTTGAATAGGAGCCCTTCTTGTAGAGGGTTGCAATAGGAGTCCATATGTGGAGGGTTCTAAAGGACAGAGGCACAACAAACAAAACAAAAAAAAAAAAAACGGCATTGAATGTTTCGGTGGAGGAGGAGGAGGAGGAGGAGGAGGAGGAGGAGGAGGAGGGGGAGGGGGAGGAGGAAGAGGAGGAGGAGGAAGAGGAGGAGGAGGAGGAGGGGAGGAGGAGGAGAAGGAGGAGGAGGAGGAGGGGGAAGAAGGAGGAGGAGGAGGAGGAGGAGGAGGAGGAGGGAGAAACATTTCCTCTGCCCCCCCCCCCCCAAAAAAAAAAAAAAACTGGGAGGGCCATTTTTTTGGGGGGGGCACACCAAATAACGAGACACTGCATTGCTATGGAGGACTTCGCAGGGAATCCTTTTTTGGAGGGTGTCAATGCGAACCCTTTTTTTGCGGAGGGTTTCAATGGGAACCCTTCTTGTAGAGGGTTTCAATAGGAGTCATTATGTGGAGGGTTCTAAAGGAAAGAAGCACACCAAAAAAAGAAAAACGGCATTGATTCTTTTTGGAAGGAGGAGGAGGAGGAGGAGGAGGAGGAGGAGGAGGAGGAGGAGGAGGAGGAGGGAGAGGAATTTCCTCTGCCCACCCCAACAAAAAAGGGGGAGGGGCGGGGGCCCGCCCAGTTTTTTTTTGTTTTTTGCTTGGGGGGGGGGGGGTGCACACCAAAAAACGAAAAACGGCATTGCTTCTTTTTAGGAGGAGGAGGAGGAGGAAAAGGAAAAGGAGGAGGAGGAGGAGGAGGAGGAAGAGGAGGAGAGAGAAAGGAGGAATTTCCTCTGCCCGCCCCAACAAAAAAGGGAAAGGGGCGGGGGCCCGCCCAGTCTTTTTTTGGGGGGGTGCACACCAAAAAACGAAAAACTGCATTGCTTCTTTTCAGGAGGAGGAGGGGGAGGAGGAGGAGGAGGCGGAGGAGGAGGAGGAGAAGGAGGAGGAGGGGGAGGAGGAGGAGAGGATGAGAGGACGAAGGAAGGGAGAAAAAAGGACGCCATAGAGCACACAGAGCATTGAAAGACAGTTGAAAAAAAAAGACGCCATAGAGCACACAGAGCATTGAAAAAAGGACGCCATAGAGCCCACGTTGACCTCATTGAATTCATGGAACTTGGGAGGGGGAGGGCGGGAGGGGTTGTTTTGGTGCCTTCTTTGCGTTCTGCTGCCCCTTCAGGCTCCCTCCAGGTAGTTTGTGACCACTCTGTAGGTCCTGGCGGGCGCAACCGATTCTCGGTCGGCCTACTTGCCATGGCAGGCGGCGGGGAGCAGCAACGTTCTAGGGGAGGTCCTCGTGACGATGTTCGTTATGAGGGTCCACGGGAACGTCGTAGCAGAAGCCGTAGCCACCATAGGGCACGGACGCGGGACACGGGCACGAGCCACCATAGGGCTCGGGACATGGAGCGGACCCCTGCCCATCATAGGGCCAGCGGCCGCTCCAGGAGCCACCATAGGGTTCCTGAAGGCCCGGTGTGTCCGCAATGCAGTATCCGTGGTCATCTTGCTCGTGATTGTCCGTCGGCGGCGAGTCCAGCAACCACACCAAAATCGTCCTCCGCAGCGCACTTGCCGCTCCTCCTCACGCCGAGGCAGCATCAGCGCCGTGATCTCCCGCAACCACCACCTCGCCCACACCCAGGCGTCACGCAGTTAAGATGCTGAAAAAAAAAGGCAACTTTGGGCTCGGGAGTGGCTCTGGTTTTTGGGCCGTTCCTTTTTGGGGGGCTTCGTCGGGATTGTGCACCCCACGGGAAGGGAGTGGGGGGGAACGGGAAACTTCATTGCCTTCAATTCAAATCCCCACGAACCTCGGGCAGTACGTGCGGCCCGGGGGGAGGCGGACCGCTCACCCATCCCACCACCATACGGGGGATGTGAAGACCCTGTGAGCGGGACGGGGTGGGCACAGGGGGGCCACCAAATGGCATCCCGCACCCAAGTCGTGGCCGTCACGGGCCTCTTCTTGGGATGAGGCACCAATCGGCCTCTCGGATGGGCACCATACGCCCGTCCACAACCAAAGGAAGCGCACCATTTGCCTTCCGCATTTCTTTGGCAACTGATTGCAACACTCATGGACCTTTTTCATTTGATACTTCAACCTCTCTCCAGTACGAAAGCCTCGCGCGCGCGCCTTCGACCCCGAGGGGCTCCACAATTCATAGTTCTCTCCCTCTCCCCCCCCTCCTCCTCCCCCTCCTCTTCCGCCCCCTCCTCCTCCTCCTCTTCCTCCTCCTCCTCCTCCTCCTCCTCCTCCTCCTCCTCCTCCTCCTCCTCCTCCCCCACCTCCTCCTCCCCCTCCTCCTCCCCCTCCTCCTCCTCCTCCTCCTCGTCCTCCTCCTCCTCTCGATCTGCTCCCTCCAAGGAGGCCCGCACTGAACACCCATCGGGCTGCCAGCCTGGCCCGGCAGCCCTGGGAGTGACGACTATGGCTTCCACCACATTGCTTTTCCTGACATTGACAACCGCATGCCCTACCGCTGCACAAGCCGACGGGCACGGCCGTCGGCAGCCCTCTGTGGGAGCAGGATCGCGCCAATAATTAATCATATATCCCTAGACTGGTGGCAGCCTCCGTGAGCTGCCCGAGAACGCCCAAGACTGACTGCGTGCCTGGAGTGCTGGACCGCCGCTGGACGGCAAGCAGCACTTCCCCCGCCAACTCCGTCCTGCCCCTCCGCTCTGCCGGCCCCCTCCGCCCGCATCCCTCCGTGGAGCGGGAAGCTATCCGTAGCCACGGCCTCGCGGGCTGGGCCCCTTGGGCCGGGACCCCGTGGACACGGAGCGTTTTGTTCGCGGATGCCCAGCGCAGTATGTGTCCGCGCGGCCGCCTTGCCCACGGGATCGCACCCCAGTCCAGGCCGAGAGGGCGTGGATACGGAAATGTTCGCCGCTCGTGAACGGCGCCCCTCCCCCGCACCACTCCTCCCACTCAGACGCGCGAGGCACTTCCGTGCTGCACTTGGGGAGCGCGTCAGAGCGTGTCCCTGCCGCGCGGCCCAGGCCAGGCCAGCACGCGGGGCTCACCCCACGTGCGTGCCGGAGACCTCCATGACGAAGCGCTTGTGCAGCGCGTTGGCGAGGTTCGCCCGGGCGGGGCCCTGCAGACCCTTCAGGGATCCGTCGTCGCACTCCATCAGCGTCTTCAGAGTCGGAGGCAGCCGAATCTCCTGCCTGCCGATGGGCTTGCCAGACGGGCGGTACTCGAAGCAGTACACCATGTCGGCCTCCGCGCGCTGCGCGTTGTAGCTCTGGTTGTTCTGCGCGTCTGGCCGCTTGTACACGTCTCTCTTGTCACCGTAGGACCGCCCGTAGCGGTGGAGGTGCCACTCGAGGAAGGGCACCGTCTCGGTGTGGATGAATTCGTTTTCGAGGGCGCCGCCAACGATGTATGAGTAGCGGACACCGACAGCACTCATGTTCGACGCGACCTTTACGATCCCGCCTGGCCTGATGTAGGCGCGCAGCGCCCGGAAGAAGAGCCGCATCAGGTTCTCGTGCCGCCAGTTCACGCACGGGTGACCGTCGAAGAACCCCTGGATGGCGCCAGAGTGCGGGAAGTTGTAGTAGGCCGCGCCTCACGAGCGGCGAGCACGTCCATATCCTCCTCCTCCTCCTCCTCCTCCTCCTCCTCCTCCTCCTCCTCCTCCTCCTCCTCGCGGCCTGGGCTTTGGGGCGCGCTCCCGTGGACGTGCGGCGGCATGGACTCCGTACGCGAGGGGCACCCGCGGCAAAAACGCGCCGCATCCGTGGGGCCGCGGCCCCATAGGGGCCCGGCCCGCGAAGCCGTGGATGTGGAAGGTCGTTACGGAGTCTGCGGGCACCCCGCGGAAGAGGAGGAGGAGGAGGAAGAGGAGGAGGAGGAGGAGGAGGAGGAGGAGGGGCCCGGCCCGCGAAGCCGTGGATATGGAAGGTCGTTACGGAGTCTGCGGGCACCCCGCGGAGGAGGAGGAGGAGGAAGAGGAGGAGGAGGAGGAGGAGGAGGAGGAGGAGGAGGAGCCCGGCCCGCGAGGCCGTGGACATGGAAGGTCGTTGCTTGCCGTCGCTCGGACGTCCATTTTCCCGTGCATGGTTCGATTTCGTGCGTGTTTTTTTTTTTTGCGCGATGGTCCAGGATGGTCCTCGATGGTTCGTTCTCGCCGAGGAAAAAATGCACACGTCCGAGCGATGCCAAGGTTGAGGAGTCTGCGGGCACCCCCCCTTCTCTGTGGGCCACTGTGTGTCTGTGCGTAGGTGTGCTGTGGTCGGAGCGCGTGGGGGGCCTGTGCGGCCGCCCCCCTCGTTTTTCGCTTTAAAAAAGACAGGGCAGAGACCACGGCGGACGCCGCTGCTGCCGTGGCCTGTGTGCCACCTGCTCGCCCTGGGAGACCTGTCCACAGTGGCGCTCGGAAGGAGGGAAGGATATGGATATGGACATGGTGCCCGCCCAGGAGCACCCAGGGCGCCCTCCAAGTCCTTGAAGCGTGGGTCGAGGGCAATGCGGGTGCAGTCCACGCCGTGGTACACCTCGCAGAAGTGATCCTCGAGGATCTTGATGCTCTCATCGATCTCCTTGTATCTCTCCTGGAGTGTCTCGTGCTCCTCGAAGGTAGTCGCAATGACTCGGCCGACGTGCCCCAGGGCCTTGCGGTGCTTCGCGAGCCTCAGTGCAAAAGTCAGATTGGCATCCCCAAAGACGGCGCAGTCGGCCAGCGGGTCGATGAGCTCGAGGCGGTGAAACCTCTCCATGGTCTGCTTGCCTGGGTGTTCGAGCAGAGTGTTCTGCGTGATGGCTTCTTCCGGATCCTGCTCCTCCGCCTCCTTGATCACCTCCTCCATCGTCTTCGTCCCATCGTAGTTCGAGAGGACGTAGCGGAGGCACTTGTGATTAAGATTCCTCACCTGCTTCTCGACGTCCAGCGGGAGCTTCCACCGGAACTTGAAAGCCATGATCAGATCGACGGGCGACCCGCTGATCATCTTGCGCTCCCTCATCTCGTTCGTGTACTTCGCGAGGAGCTCGGAGGGAGACTTCCACTGATTGAACTTGTCTGGCTGATAGTTACTGTTCTTCATCTCTGTCAGCTCCGCCAGACTGAGGGCGCCGAGCACATGGGCGCATACCGCATCGTGCTGCAGCTGCCATCTGCTCAATAAAGCCGTGACCGTGTTCTTGAACTCGGCCGTGTCGCACTCCTCGCCGGTATCGTTGCCCTTCCTCTTTTTCCTCGGCGTGCCCACGTCTGAGTCTCGGCTGAGCAGCCGCTTCAGGCGGAGTGAGCCCTCCACGTTGTCCTTGAGGCTCTCGTCGACGTCCACTCCCTTGAAGGCGTCGTCCTCGTCGTCCTCGTCGACCGCGGCCTCGCCTTCCTCGGCCGCCTCCTCCAAAACGTCGACGGGCTGCTCCTCGATGCCAGCCATGGCCCCCTGCAGGCTCTCCCCTCCTGTGCGACGGACGGCGCCTGGAGGCCTCGGCCCAAGCTGGTACCTCAACTGGAGCCGAGAACGGCTGCGGCGGCTTCCGCCGCGGGCCCGCGACAACCAGGCTGGAAGCTCTTCGGGCAGCGGCGGCGGCGGCGGCGACAAACAAAGAAGGTGGGAATTCGCGCCAGGGTGGGGAGCGCGGGGGGTTCTGGAATACGTCTCCTGGACGAGGGCTCGCAATTCCAGTGGCCCAAGGCCCTGTAGAAGTGCCTGCGAGGAGCACTTGCTGGGTATTCGTGGCATTACTGCTGCGCGCAGCTGCATTGTTTAGAAGACTGCTCGCGCAGAGGGCTGCGGCGGACTCTAGGGAACGATTGATCGACGACACGAATTCCAGGCAGCATCAAGACATGCTCGATTTGCTTGCAAGAGATGCTTGCAATGGCTTCCTGAAAAACGTACCATCAATCATGTGCAGACAACTCTAAGGTCTGTGTGAACTGGATTGCGAAGGTACCCCGCAAGGCCATGTTCCCCAAACAGTCCTTGCACGGAGCTCCTACTCGTTTCCGAAGCACATGGCAGGCACTCCCGAGATTTCGTCCTGCGTCCGCACGTGCCCGCCTCGTGTGCGCCCCGTGTGCCGGCTGGCATTTCGGGGCGATCGCCCAGTGCCCGCCCAGGCCCGCCTCGCACGACCCTCCCGCGTGCGCTGGCTGGCGTTTCCGGCGCTCGTCCGGGGCCCGCCCGTGTCCGCCCCGCGCCCGCCTTGTGCTCTGGCTCACATCTCTGGGTTTCGCCCAGTGCCCGCCTCGCACCCGCCTCGCACCCGCCCCGTGGGGTGGCTCGCACATCTCAGGCGTTCGCCCCGTGCCCGCCCCTGCGCGCCTCATGGCCGCCCCATGCGCCAGCTCGCCTGTTCGGGTCTCGCCCAGTGCCCGCCCAGTGCCAACCCGTGCCCGCCTCGCGCACGCCCTGTGCTCTGGCTGGCATTCCCGAACTTCCGATCAGAGGAAAAACTCGAAGGGGCCCGTGGGGCCCTCAACCCAAAGATGGCCCCCGAGACCGCCTCCAAAGCCGAAGAGGCGCCCCGGGGGAGCCTCAGAGGCCCCCAGAGGCCCCCGAGAGGCCTCCCAGAGACCTCCGAGGGCTCTCAAGAGGCCTTCCAAGAGACCCAAAGAGACCTGTGGCCAACTACCCAAGCATGGTGGCGGGATGGACCTAAGGCCACAAGATCCACCATCAAATCCTCAGGTCTCTTCGAGTTCTCTGTGTTCACTATTGCACATGCTCTTTCAAAGGTCGCGGATTCGCAGAATTCTGAGGCGCTTCCAGGCGCTCTCGCGCTGCGTCGCATGACTTTTCGAAAGGCTTCGAGAGCGTGGGGTCCGTACTGGGGCCATGTTGGGGTGTTCTTGAGCTGTCATGGAGGCCCTTTGGACCAGCCCAACAGGCCCAAACCACGGAAAACCAAAAATGGGGTGTCCTGTTATGTTCGCATGCTCGGTGGTCGAGTGTTCAGAGCGTCCAGGATAGCCCAAGTGGCCCCCGAGATCCGCCCAAGGGGAGACCCAAGAGGAGGATCCCGACGGAGCGATCATCTATGGCCCCCGAAACCGCCTGCAGGCGCCCAAGACCCAAGAGGTACCCGAGAGGAGCCCAGAAGGTCCCCAGGAGACCCCCAAGAGGCCTCCAAAAGGCAACAGAAAACAGTGCAAGTGGCCACCAAGAGGCCTTCCAAGAGACCCTCAGCGGCCTCTCACAATACTCGTGTCTACGACCCAGGCACGGTGGCGAGATGGACAGAGGCGGTGGCAATCACATACCCGAGCCGCCCATCTTGACAGACCAGCACGCGGGAGACGTAGACCATCGGCGCTCCTGGAGACATGTATTGCTCCCCCCTGGGCTATTCGCACCGATCGCCGCCTCCGAGGCAAAGGCTCGGGGACGCACTGACCAGGGTCAGTGCAAACCCAGGCCAGTCAGATTTTGCAAGATCCTTCGGGATCCTGCAAGATCCGGCGCGCTAGCCCGGGCCAATGCAGCCCTGGTTCTGCAGGATCCTGCAAGATCCGGCCCTCCAGCTGACCCCCGTCTGCATTGGCCCCCGTCTCTTACAGCTCGACGGGCATCTCAGGGCGCCTCTCCGGCCCCTCCCCCGCGGCTCCTGGCGCACGGCCCCGTGCTCGAACCGCCGCGCGGCCCCCATGCTGTCGCCTGCGGTGGGCCCGTCCGCCTGGGGAGGGCGAGAGGGGCCACTCCAACAAGGCAACCTGTCATCCCTTCACTTCTCGTGCGTGCGTGTCTCATGTTGCGTCTGCGCGTGTGCGCGGGTGCGTTTGAACTCTGGCCATCCTCATCCTCATCCTCGTCCTCCTACTCCTCCTTCCTCCTCTCCTCTTCCTCCTCTTCCTCCTCCTTCTCCTCCTCCTGCGCCTGCGCATTCTCCTCCTCGTATCCTCCTCCTCCTCCTCCTCCTCCTCCTCCTTCTCATGTTCCTCCTCCTCCTCTTTCTCCTCTTCTTCCCCATTATCATTATCCTCCTCCTCCGCCAGCTCCTCCTCCTCCTCATCATCATTATCCTCCTCCTCCTCATCATCATCAGCTCATCAGCTCCATCATCATCATCATCATCAGCATCATCATCATCATCATCATCATCATCATCAACAACAACAACAACAATCATTTTACCCGAACGCTCAGTGTTCTCACCAGTGCCAGGGTTTTCATGCGACGCGAGACAATACCCCCACTTCGTGGGGGGGCAGTTCAAGCTCTACCAAATATCCAAACGACTCTTCGCGACCACCCAAACCCAGCTTCCCGCCCTATGACGTTGGGACACTTCACTTCGTGGCGTGCGGACGACCGTGGCTACTACACTGGCGTGGGGTACACACCCACAGAACTTGGTCACTTATTCGGGGCGCGCGTGTGCCCAGCATCCTGCAATTGTGACATACAATACATGACACAGACAGACAGAGAGAGAGACAGAGAGCAGACAGAGAGAGAGACAGAGAGAGCGGAGTTGGTCACATTTTTGGGGCAAGTTCCTGAGATCGTCGTGTTTTTTGTTGGTCTTGCGCGCGCGAATGTCCACTTTACTTTTTTTTGCAAGGGAGTATTGAAATTTGATTATGTTAGAACAAGAAAAAGTAGCTCGCGCGAGCTCATGTAACATAAATGTTGAAAAACCATTGGTTTTGTGGGAGTCGGACAGCGCGCGCGGGATGAAATTTGGACATTTTTTTTTGAAAAACCATTGGGTTTTTGATGTTTTTATGTTGAAATCGTTACGAAACCTAAGGTTCTGGAAGGATTTCGTCTTGCGCGCGCGAATGTCCACTTTACCTTATTTTTTGCAAGGGATTATTGAAATTTGATTATGTTAGAACAAGAAAAAGTAGCTCGCGCGAGCTCATGTAACATAAATGTTGAAAAACCATTGGTTTTGTGGGATTCGGACAGCGCGCGCGGAAGGACATTTTGACAATTTTTTCTTAAAAAACCATTGGGTTTTTGATGTTTTTATGTTAAAATCGTTACGAAACCTAAGGTTTTGGAAGGATTTCGTCTTGCGCGCACGAATGTCCACTTTACCTTATTTTTTGCAAGGGATTCTTGCAATTTGATCAAGTAAGAACAAGAATTTTCATTTTCTATTGTTTTTTGCAAGGGAAAACGGATACAACAAAACAACCGGATCCGGACACAATCCACTTTTCTGAAGCTTTCGCGAAAAAATGATGAAAATGTAGCTGCGGCCTAGGCGCGGCGCAGAGGTCGCGCACCAGGGGTCCCAACAATAATAATTCTTTAGAAGGAATAATATTCAACAACAACAAACAACAACAACAACAACAACAACAACAACAACAACAACAACAACAACAACAACAACAGCAACAGCAACAGCAACAGCAACAGCATCATCATCATCATCATCATCATCATCATCATGATCCTCATCCTCATCCTCATCCTCATCATCATCATCATCATCATCATCATCATCAGCAGCATCATCAGCATCATCATCGTCCTCCTCCTCCTCGTCCTCCTCCTCCTCCTTCTCCTCCTCGTCCTCCTCCTCCTCGTCCTCCTCCTCCTCCTCCTCCTCCCCCGTAGCCATTTTGGCTCAAGCCGTGTTCCCCGCTTTCTCCGCAGCCTTTCGCCCATGGTCGGTGGCTCGGCGGCGGCGGCGGGCACGCCTTGGATGGTTGCGGGGGGCTGCCCGAGTGCGCGGCGGCCCAGCACCTTGCGTGCCGCCGACATCGCTGTCCTCGGCCCGACGGCGGCTCGCCGCGCTGCTCGTCGGCGCCTTCGGGATGCTCTCGATGCTGCTCTGCGCGCACGTGCTTGCGTCGGCGAGCCAGGCTCCTGGCAAGACAGGGAGCTGGCGGCGCGGCCCGCGCCGAAGCTCCTGTCGGCCGGCGCGGCAGTGCCAGGAGCCACGCGTAGGCGGCGAAACGCGGCCTGGCACGCGGCTCTCGCGCCAGCCGGTGGCTTCGCCGCAGCCGCCGACGACGGGGTCGCTTGGGCAACAGCTGGTCCTCGCCTTGGCGCCAGCGCTGCTGCCCCAGGGCCCTCTCGCAGTGCGGCTCCGTGCGACGAAGCCGATTTTTTCGGGCCGCAGGTGGCTGATGGGCCGAGGCTTGGGTTCGCTGCCAGACCAGTGCTGGGCGAGGAGGTGGCGCAAGTCGTCTCCATCGGCGTGGCACCGGCTCCTGGCACCTGGGAGGTCCCGCTCGGGGCCCCAGCCTTGCAGGCAAAGGCCTTCGGGGATGGCCTGGAGGCTGGCATGCGCCTCGCGGCCACGCTCCCCGTGCCAGGCTTTGCGGAAAACCAGGGGTTCGTCGAGCAGCATTGCGGCGTGGTCGCGAGCGCGGTGCCCGTCGTGGAGCACGAGTCTGGCACGTTCCTCGGTTCCTTCGGCACGGCCTGGGAGCCGCAGTTTGGCACTGCGGATGTCGGTGGTGGTGTCATGCAAGCTGCTGCTCGGGGTGCCGCAGTTTCTTTGGGCGTGGGAGACTCTGTGGCCGATGTGGAGCCAGGTGTACCCAGCAGCTCATGGACACCGACGGGATTGCCACATGCCCCTGGAGAGGGCCTGCTTTTCCAAGGGCTGCATGGTGGCCGCTCCACTCTCGACGACCGTGGGAGCGATCTCTCGGGCCTCGACTGTGTCAGTGTTGTCTCGTCTTTCGATGATGTCTTCGAGTAGGTATGATATACGCGCGAAATGCCTCATCCCGTACCTGGTGCGGTCCATCTCGTCCTGCAGTTGTTGTTGTTTGTTCCTTGTTCGGGGAGCTTCCTGATGCTGCACGTGGCTTCGGGCTTCCTGGTATTGCAAGTGGCTCCCGCTCGAGGGCTTGTACGCGCTGTTCTGTTTCTGGTTGCTGGGTGAGGTCAAATTGTTCGTGTTTCATGTCTTCGCCGGCATCGGCCTCGTCGTGCTCACGGAGTTCGTAGAGGTTCCAGGCCGATCGAGCCTCAGTCGGCCCAGGTGATTCCGAGGCATTGGCGTTTAGCATGCTCTAGACATGCAGTTTGCGGTTGTGCTCAAAAAAACCTCCACCTCCTCCTTATTATTATTATTCTTCTTATTATTGATAGTATTATTATTATTATTCTTCTTATTATTACTACTATTATTATTATTATTCTTATTCTTATTATAATTATTATTATGCTTTCTGTTTATTAGTATTATCCGTCTTAGTATTATTAAGTAGTATTATCATTCTTGTTCGTATTATTATTCGTCTTCGTAGTATGATTAGTATTCAACTTCTTCTGCTTATTATTAATATTCTTATTATTCTCATTAGTATTATTCGTCTTATTATTATTATTCTTAGTCGCATTATTATTATTATTATTAGTATTATTATTGTTAGTATTCTTCTTGTTCGTCTTCTTCTTCTTCTTCCTCCTCCTCCTCCTCCTCCTCCTCCTCTTTCTCCTCCTCCTCCTCCTCCTCCTCTTCCTCTTTCTCATCCTCCTCGTCTTTCTCCTCCTCCCTCCTTCTTCTCCTCCGTCCCCCCTTTTCGCCCCTCTTCGAACTCTTTTCCCAGGCGCGGCGCGAAGACGGGCCAGGCGCCAGCGACTGGTCAGCCCAATTCGGATGCCCCTCGGCCTCAGACTACCAGAGTGCGCTACGTTCAGATCATCTCGAGCTCGTCCAACGACACATTGAGGGTCGACTGGACAGGACGGAGCATCTCCAGCACTCTCGCGACGGGGAGCGACAGCAGATCACTCTCGCAGTCGTTGATGCCGTACGCGACGACCAGCTCGTCGGCACCACGCAAGGCGATGCCCGACGCGAACTGGATGGCCTCGCACGCCTCCTCGCCGTCCGCGAACTCCTGCCGCCAATGCGAACTAAAGTGGCCGTTCATCGTGATGCACCACTCTGTCGAGACGGCCATCACCTCAAACGGAGAACTGCCCCGGACGACATAGAAGAAGTTGTGGTATGCACGCGTCTTGTCCTGCCTCCGGAACCTCGTCAGGTCGCCTTTCGCCTGGTCGAAGGGGGATCGTATGCGCTGCAGGTGGCCACACCCCAGCAGCATCGGGCCTGGACCGCCGGCTGCGAAGTACCAGTCCGGCCAGAGTCGCTGCGGGAGCTCGAGGCAGCAGTAGCCGCCCCGCACATTGGACACGCCGTGCAGCACGTCGTACGGCCACCTGGACACGGCGTGCTCGGCCAGACTCGTGAGCGCGACGCCGCTTGAACGGTCCAGGCCGGCCTCCAAGACGATGTGCGGCTCCACGAAGTACTCGATCACCAAGCGGTCCCGCTCCGCCTTGATCAGATTCCAATTCTTCTCCACCCCGTTCACGGTAGGGAAGGTCAGCAGTTCCGTGGGCTCCACCCACGCCCGCCTGAGGCACTGCTGCGGCGGAGGCGGGCCCAGCCGCCAGGCCTCCCAGCCAGGCGCGCCGCCGGGCCTCCCAGCCAGGCCGTCGCACCGCTGGAGAGCGCAGGACTCGAAGCGCGGCGAGAAGAGGACCGCGCTGCAATCGTCGGCCGCCTCGCAGCTCCTCTGGCACTCACGAAGGCTCAGGCCGCTCCCCATCGCAAAGGTCGTGCAGGGCTGGGCGGCACGGTGCCACTGCAGCAGCCCCTCGTGCAGCCACGTCTCCCAGCCTGCCTGCGTGGCCACCTCGACCTCGGGCTCGCACCTGAGCATCGTTTCACCGATCCCTATCCCCACTGGCGTGGCCTTGGTCCCGCTGGCCGACTTAGTTTCCCACATAGGTATATGCTTGTTCCTTCGGGTTTCGCGGGGCCTATTCCCACCTGCGGCACATTCATGTCGTGCCGAATTCGGCGGTTGGTTTCTGACACCGCGGGGACCTTTTTACCTTGAACGATCGGCCGTGTCCGAAACGTCAGATCGTTCAACATCGACCGAGTGTGTCGCCGGCGGCGCCAAACATTGAACGCCGGCAGCGGGGTCGCCGCCGGTCGACGCAACGCGAACCTACCGTACCATGGCCCACTGAGGATGGGGATAGGTTACTCCAGATTTCATAATAAAAGGGAGGGGGTCTGGACCCTCCAAGACAGGCTATTCCAGATCCCCCCCCCCGTGGGAGAACCCTCCAAAACATCGTCCCCAGACCCCCCCAGGCCCTCCAAGATAGCCTGGAAGAGACCCCCCCCGAAATGAGACCCCCCTCCATTTATTACGAAATCTGGAGTAGACGATGCTGCGCACCTGCGCAGCTCACAGCGCCCAGGCCCCAGGCTGACGGCGTTGCAGTGGCTGCTCGAGGCCTCGCACGAGGCGCGGCACGCATCGCCGGATCGGCCGTCGCCCATGCCCAGCCAGCGGCAGCCCGCCCCGACCAGTGCCTCGTCGCGGCCGCGCAGCTGCCACGCGTGCTCTTCCTCGGGGCACTGTGTGACAATACGTGCTTCTGTCCTAGCAACCCTAGTGCTCAGGCTGTACTTCAGCTCCCTCCTCCTCCTCCTCCTCCTCCTCCTCCTCCTCCTCCTCCTCCGCCTCCTCCTCTTCCTCCTCTCTCTCTGGGGCTGGGCGCGGTGGAGCCGCGTCGGCATCGGCAGCGCCCCTGGCGGAGCCAGGGGACCAGCGGCTAGCCGAGGCTGGCACGGCCTAGGATGCACCCCGAAGCGGAAGTCAAAAAAAAAGTCCTCGGGGCACTGTGCCCACTCCACGTGGAGGGGGGCGGCGTTCATCCCGCGGACGATCTCGTCGCTCCCCGGGACGTTGCGCTCGGCGTAGAAGGACAGCCACATCTCGCCGTCGGAGCCCTGCACGAGGCGCGCATCCATGGGGCCGCGCACCTGATCCAGGAACCTCCGGCCGCTCATCTTGGTCTCGCTCGTGAACTGGCACGCGAGTTCGGGCATCTCCACCATCGTGTGGCTCAGAACCTCGAGATCGACAGGATTGATGTGCACCAAAACCAATGCGTTCAGGAAAATACGCGTGTCCATGCTAGATTCCCTTGCGTGCCTGACACTCGGACAGCCAGGCCCATTGGACATCCGCATCGTCGCCAGAAGTGATCCATCCTCCAGTGCGATCAACGAAGGGTTGAACAGTGGCACGAAATCTGGCGGGCTTTTGAACCAGCCGCTCGGAGCTCTGATTCCCTTGCGCATGAGCTGCAGGCTGAAGGGTACACGCTGCTGGCTCCTGAGCATCTCAGGATAGACGTGCCACATGAAATTGGTCGCACGGGTCGACGAGATCTCGTCGGCCCGCAGAATGAACTGCTCCTCGTAAGCATCGGCCGAAATAACCCGGCCCCTCAGTAACTCTGCAGTCACCTCGCGGGAGCCGAGAGCCTCCCGGAGCGCCTCCCCGTGATCGCGGGCGATCATGACGGCGCGGACCGGAGGTGCCGAGTGGTTGCCCAGCGAGATGGCGTCAAGCCCCTCCTGGTGGTAGAAGAACACAACCCCGCTGGTGGAGGGAAAGAAGAAAAAGTGGCCATGACCACGACTGCACGCGGGAACGTCGATGCCGATCTTGGTCATCGGCCATATCGGTCGCCGTCCTTCCGTGAATCATCTTCGCGAGTCGGAGCCGACCAGAGTCGACAGGACCCCGTGACGTCTTGGTCATGGTCATCGTGTTCCTTCCCTCGAGCTGGCTCCGCCCTCGGCGGCGCGCTCGCAGACGACGACCAGCTCGTCACAGGCCTCCGCCGCGTCCTTTGGAGTCCCGAAGCGGTGCGGTGACAGACCGTGTGGTGACCTCGAAACCCCTGAAGACCTCACCGCACGGCCCGTCAACGCACGGTCTTGGGACCTCGGATGCCCCAGTCGCCCGAGACGTCCTCGGAGATCGACCCGGGTCCCAAAACCGTGCGGTGACCCCGAATCCCCACCGACTCACCACACGGTGTGGTCACCACCCCGTTTGGGGACCCCCCGACGTCCACCAGCACCAGCCGGCCCCGGGCCCGCTCGCCAGCGTACCCGAGGCAGCCGCCCGGGTTGGCCGCGTCGAAGTGCAGGGCGCCCGCGAGCGCCGCGGAGCCACCGTCCTCGATCTCCTGTTGGAGGCTTGGAAGTTTACACCAACACCAACACAGGGCGTTGCCTCCACCAGGGGAAGATGGTCCTAGATTTCGGTGTTGGTGGTAGTCCTTCGGTGTTGGAGGCACAAACGCCGATATTGGTGTTGGTGTCAACCTCTAGGCCTCCGATCCTGGTTCCAGGAAGCGTGCATCGCCTCGCACTCCAGCGGCCTCTCGCCCGCGAGGCCGCGCGCCACCAGCACGTCCGCCGCGCATGTCGGCGCGGAGAGCCACAGGACGGAGAGCCGCGGCAGCGCCGCCGCACCGCGCCGCCGCCGCCAACCCCTGGGCCTCTGCGCCAGCACGTCCAGGGGCGGACCCATGGTCACCTCGCCCGCTCCCCCGCCCTTCCTCCCTCCTGACTCCTCCCTCGTCCTGCCCCTCCCTCGTCCTGCCCCTCCCTCGACGCCGCCCCCGTCCTCCTTCTCTCCTTCCCTCCTCCCTGCTCCGCCTCCTCCTTCATTGGCGTCGTCTCCTCCCTCCTCCTCCTCCTCCTCCTCCTCCTCCTCCTCCTCCTCCTCCTCCTCACCGCAGGTCTCGTCCACACGCGCGGGCCACGGTTCTCCCGCCATCGCAGGGGGTGCTGTCCTGAGCACGGCGGGGTCAACCCTCGGGCCCTTGCGCCCTGGGCTGCTGAGCTCGAGCCATACGGCTGGCGCAGTACCGTCGGGGCGCTGACCTAAGGAACCCTAGATAAGGAACGAGGCCCCTATTGTCCATAAGTGGAACTTCGATTCCGCATCGAAGACCTAAGGAAAATACAGGGCAAGCCACGAAACAATTAAGGAACCCGGAGCCCCTCCCCAACGAAAAGGGTTCCTTCTTCAGGGCCCCGACTGTGGCAGAGGGAGGAGGATCAGGAGGAGACACAGGAGGACGAGAAGGAGCAGGAGAAGAAGCAGGAGGCGCAGGGGGGGCAGGACGAGGAGGACAAGCAGGATGCGAGGGAGTCGGGCAGTCCCCGATCGCACGAGCCCTCTTGCACAGCAGAGGAACCCCACTTGGCACCGCCCCACCGGCGACAAAAGCGCATGAGTGACAGGGCTCTCCAGCACCTCTCTGCAACTCCGGGCGACAAACGAGCACTGGATGTCGACAGTGATGCGGTACCCTCTCACCACGACATCAAGCATCGCACTCACGATCTCGCGGCGGCCCCGGCGACACGCTGCGTCTTGCAAGCTGATAGCGTGTCGCTCTGCTTCGTGAGACGGGGGGCTGGGAAAAGCTCGGGGCGCTGATGCTCGGGACTGGGACGTGCTCAGCGGGTCGCGCCGAAGCGCGGTGGGCCAGAACCAGCGGCGCGGGACGCGAAGCAGACGTTCCTGACATTGCTCGGACGTGAAACTTGACGCCATCCAAGCGAGCGCTCTCCACGCAGTCCGAGCGGCAGCTGCAGGGCCTGGGCCGTGCCATGTGGGCCATGAGGTGAGCACGGGCACGGCGATCTCTCTCGCGGGCCGCGGCTGCGCCCGCGACTGCGCCACGCTGCGAGGCGCTGGTCGAAAACCTGCTGACCACGTCTGCATCTGCAGCTGAGGAAACGATAGGAAACGGCAAGTCTTCGCAGAGCAGTCTTCGACCAGCCTGGGGATCACCCATCGGGGCCTCGGCACGAGGGCGTGATTCAGCAACATTGAGAGTGCGGGTCGTATTTCCCGGCCTTGACGAGTTTCACGGGCACGAATTCTTTGCCAGGTAGGTGTTCAGACACTCGCGATTTGGCAGGACAGGCCCTGGAGCATTCCGAAGCTAGATCGTAAAACACAGCATGTGGCCTCCCTCTCTGGCCTTGTGTGGGCTGAGGTCACCCAGACGGCCCACGCTGCGGAGGACAGCTCCGGGGGGCCGCCTGGCTGCGTCTCAATCCAGCAGCTCCCTTCGCGAGAAGCCCTGCGGGACGATCACCTCTACACAAGTAGCAACCTTGTCGCATGACCTCCTAGACGGGCCCGCAGCGCAGCGACGACCATCTAAGGAAAGAAACCTAAACAAAGACAACCGTGCGGTCACGGCTGGACTTAGACTACGTCCTCTCGCCACGCGCGCATCTACCGCAATAGGTTGAGCGCACTGTCGGGGTCGCAAGCACATTCTGACGCCTTGTCTGCGCGCCTGCTCAACGCCTCGCTTCGCCTGACCCTGGCAGGAGTTGCACGCTCGCCACCGCCGCAGACCTCGCCCAGACCTCCTCGCCTACCCCCCCCCTGTCCAGGCGGACGCGTGTCGAGGCCACTGCCCCGCCGGATACACAATTGGCCCAGGAAGCGTCCAAAGTGAGAGGCTCGAGAGCTCGTCTCCGCCTTAGGGCCCGTCGTAGCTCCCGCCTTCCGGGCTCAATCACATTATGCACGATGAGTACACGGAGTGTCTCTGGAACGCACGTAAGCATGATCCCCAGCGCGCGAGGTAATGAACCCCCCCGATCACACATCCCGGGAACATTTCCAGGGAGTCACCAAGCGTGCCAGTGACGCGCCAGAGCAATCCCAAATTGTCGCTTTCGCATAGACGGACCTCCCCAAGTCGGTTCCGAGACCCGCCCAAGGGGTCCCCAATCGTGCCTACCTGGGCCCCTCACGGGGAATCGCTGGCCGCGCCAGACGCTCCTGAGGAAACCCACACCGGCACTTTCGCATAAGTCTCACCACATCAGCCCCGAGACTCGCCCAGGATGCGCGGCCGCCTCTCCGGACCAGTTCCAGGGAAACACCAGCCGCGAAAGACGCGCATTGTTCTCGCTCAAACTGCCGAGCAAGCGCAGAGCGGCTGGCTAACTCACACGAAGCAGCCAGAATGCATGGGTCGGTTAGGTCAGTGCCTTGCTATTTCGCTGGTGCGGCTCATGATGTCAGCGCGAGGACGCCCAACAACAAATAAGCTGCTGATGAGAGTGGAGTTGGATGCGTACAGTGTCAATTCGGAAGTGCAGCGAGGCAGAGAGGAAGCAGGCGGAGACGAGAAGGGGATGGAGTAAAAGAGAAGAAGAATCGCGCAAGTCATGCGCAACCTCGCGCGCTCTGCGCAGGCAGCGTACGATCTGCAGCGGAACAGCGGACCCGATGCGGGGACCTCGCATCCCCTGTAGCGGAAAAGCACATCTATACTTATTGTTCGTTGGTCGTCCACTCTGCAGCAAAACGGCAAAACAGGCGGCAACCAGAAAAAGTGGCAAACAGGGCCGCTGGGAGAAGGCCATGGGAGGCCGCAAGAAGCAAAGCGGCGGCCGGGAAGCGAGGCAGACACATTAAGGGTCAGACACCCGCACGCGCAATACAACCCAAGCAGGGATCTGAACAGCCTGCAGGAAACCAGAGAAACCAAGGCGGCGACGGGAAGCAGGGAAGTGAACCCATAGCAACCAAGCAGTGCGAAGCCAAGCAGCGACCAAGAAATGAACGACAGCCAGGTCCAGCTCTGTAGAATCCAACTCAGAACCATTCATTGCAAGCACTGTTTGAGAAACGCAGAAGAAGATGGTTCGCTGTTCGAGGCTCTTGTCCTCCACACCCCTCGCCTCCCACACTGTTCCCCCTGGTGCTCAATCGTGGTGTCCACTCCTCTTATCTTTTCCCCCTCCTCCTCCTCCTCCTCCTCCTCCTCCTCCTCCTCCTCCTCCTCCTCCTCCTCCTCCTCCTCCTCCTCTTACTCCTCCTACTCATCCTCCTCCTCCTTGAAATCATCCTGGTAATTTTCCTCCTCAGCCTTGCAACTTGCCCCCTTCCCTCCTTCCCCCCCCCCCCCAGGCGTGCAAGAGCAACCCTGGACAGCGGGGCACAGCTCACCTCCTTTTGGAGTTGGATGCCGCCCCCTTGACTAGTAGACTGTCCCCACGCCAGGAAGGTGCTTCAGAGCAAACTACAGTCAAAAATGTGATTCAGAAAATTTAACAATTAAGAAAGCTGGGCCAGCTTTTCAGAAGTTTCTGAAGGAAACGCTAGGCCAGCCTTTGGAGCCAGGAACATACGCTATTCATTTCTGGAATCCAAGGCTATCAGTCCCCTTACGAAACTGAGCGAGCTTTCCAGCAAGTTGGTGAAGAAACGCTGGGCCAGCTTGTCGGGGGGAGATTTCTTGATCATAAGCGGGACCGTACACCAGCGGATTCATTGCATACAGAGGTGAGGCCACAAGTGCATCGCTCTACGAAGCATTGACGGCCAGAGACTCCTCTGGTGCCTTTTTTCTCGAGGCATTCGCAGCCCTGGGCCACACCACACCCAAATCGAGTGAACTTCAGAGTGACACGCTCGAAGTAAGCGCCAGCAAACACGACTTGCATACACACCCCGAGCTGAGGCGCGAAACGGCCAGAAGGCTCCTTCTGCCACAGCCTCCTGCAAGAGAGGGGGGGGTGCTGTGAACTCTAGAATCTAGAACTCTTCGTCGGCACCTTGCGTGGATCTCCGTTGCTCCGGGAGCTGCTTGGCCTGCTCCTCAAGGCCTCGGCGAGGGTGAGATGGCAAGGCGCGCTTCGGCGGGGGCCCCATCGGTGCTCCCAGTCTCCCCGGTCCCGGGAGCGGCCCCCCGGCACGCTGCAGCCCCGTGGTGATCCAGGGGCCGTGTGGCACTCGAGGCGCGCAGTCGACGGGACGCAGGCACGGCCATCGCGCTGCCGTCGGGGACGCCGAGGAAGGCACGAGGGTGCGCTCCCGGCCACGGCGAGGCGCGGCCACGAACGGGCTCCCAAACCTCGCCTTGGCGCCAGACCACCACTCGCCAGGCACCGATGTCTCGTGCATCGGCGATACGTAAGAGTGACCCCGGGTAAGAGCGACCTTTGGTGCGCGGCCTTTGGGGGTCCGCGGGGGGACCAAACCTGGGCGCGCAAGCAGCTGCCGCTGCTTCGTTCTCCGCCATCTGGGGGCCCGTCTGTGCCCGCACCAAAGGTCACTCTGGCGAAGGGTCACCCTCACGTCTAGTCGAGCGCAGCGCGAATCACCACCCCGCTCGCCAGAGCTCACAGCGGCCTGATCCCTGGCCCTCCGAGCCAACCCCGTGGGCTGCCGAGCTTCGGGCTGGCGCCCCTCGGACCGCCTGCCGGCCGACGACTCGAGGGCTTGCAGTCGCTCGTGGCCTGGGATTCTGGACCTCAGGAGGAGGAGGAGGAGGAGGAGGTGGTGGTGGTGGAGGTGGAGGTGGAGGTGGAGGAGGAGGAGCAATGGGCGGAATTCTCAATTCCAAAGTCACCCGCCAATGGCCCCCCCTCCCCCCTCGAGGGAGAATTCGATCATTGGACCCTGGGTACGGAACTGGGTTTGGGCTCTGCTCGTGCGTCCCATCCTGGCCCGTCTCCTCGCGCGAGGGGGGGCGCTATTGCTTGCGCACGTTACATTGAGTACATGACCTGCGCTACGCCACACTCGGAATAGCAGACAAGCCAAACCCGCTCTCGGGGCGCGTACTCCGGACACCAACGCGCGACATCCCCGCTTGCCATGTCAGCCCCCTGAGCTCAGACTTCCTGCAACTCTCCCTGCAAGACCACTGCATGCTCGCCTGCCTCTCCGACCTCCTCCCCCCAGAAGAGCCTTCAGCGTCGTGAGTCTGTCCTCCCGTCGGTCTCCCTGCAAGACCGCTGCCAGCCCGCCGACCGCGGCCGCGGAGGCCGCTCCAACCGGTCTCGGTGATAGTGAGGTGGCGCCCAGCGGGTTCTCAGGATGGCGTACCTGACGCAGGTGCGCTCTCTGGTCCCCGAGGGCAGGGATGGGAGGGGTAGCGAGAAAGGGAAAAGATGGCCCCATCCCAGAGATCCCCAAGCTGGTCATTGTCGGGGGCTGCTCGGGATGACCCCTCATTTTCGGCTCGACGGGTGTTCGCCATCGTTGTTTCGCGTATGCTTCCCCCGCTGCACTTCTCACGACAGTTCATCCGGGAACCGTTCCTGCGGGAGCTGCTGAACATAATTACGCGAAGCGTCAACGAGCATAGGAGAGAGAGACACAGGGGGAAGAGGGGGCACGAAAGAGGGAGAGGCGGACGACGGAGGAGGAGGAGGAGGAGGAGGAGGGGAAGAGCAATCCAGAAAGCCAGAGCAGACCTGGTCACGAGGCCGCACTCCCCTGGCCTGCAGGACCTGTGCCGGAGGCGAGGGCAGGGCGGTACAACAGTGGCAGCAGGAGCACCAGACTGAAGGGGCCCCAGGACACACAAATAAATACAAATAAAAAGATTCCCCATATTTCCCGATATTTTCTGGGTTCCTGTCTCCCCCCCCCACTTCCCATATTTTCCCAATTTTTCGGGGGAATCGACGATTAATTGTCTTTGTTTGTTCCCTCCTGACAGACTCGTTCTGCTCACGATGCAGATGCAAAGGCAGTGTAGAACGGCAGCCGAAAAAGTACCCTGGAACTGCAGAGGCAGCCGCGCCCCAGCCCCGTGGCACTCGTTGTCCGTGCCGACGACGGGCAGCATCTCCGAAGCCGTGCACGCCCGAAGCCGATCAGCTTCTCGGCAGCGCATCTCCGAGGCGGCGCGGTGCAGGCTGAGCACGCGGGCGGCGTTGAAGACACCGCCAGGGCTGCAGCCAGGACCGCGGCAGGCCCGTGGGGCCGTCATCTCTCGAGCGGGCGCTCGCCGCCCTGAGACGCTTACTCTGGTCCTCCTCCTCCTCCTCCTCCTCCTCCTCCTCCTCCTCCGCCTCCTCCTGACTCTGGTCCTCCTCCTCCTCCTCTTCGTCGTCATAGTCATGGTCATGATCTATCATAAGCATCATCAGCATCATCATCAGCGTCATCAGCATCATCACCAGCAGCAGCATTATCAGATTCATCATCATCAATACCTTCTCCACCATCACCATCACCATCCCGATGACCACCACCATCACAATCACCACCACCATCATCATCAGCAGCAGCAGCAGCATCCTCATCCTCATCCTCATCCTCATCCTCATCCTCATCCTCATCCATCTCTTCCTCGCCCTGCCCTCACTATCACTGTCGTCGTCACTATGGGGCTCCGAACTCCAACCGCGGTCGCTGTGCCCTCTCCGCGAGGAGACGGGAGAGGACAAGCGTGGCCTGGGCAAGGGCAGAGAGTGTAAGGGGAGGGGAAAGGGAGAGGGCGATGAATTGGAGAGGGGAGCGGAGAGAGCGAGGACGGGATGGGCCAAACCGAAGATGGCCTACCGTGGAGCTCCTCCCCGCTACTCCCACGGCTTCGACATTGCCCTCCCCTTCGGACAATGCCTGGAGGGCACCAAATGGTTAGTTAATGAGGCAGCACGCTGCTGCAGACTGGATCCCGAATGGCCCTCTGCGACGCCCGAGGGCGTCTTCCGACCGAGTGAAGATCTGCTCCTCTCCACGCTCCCCCTCCTCTCCCTCCTCCTTCCCCCCCACCTCCCCATCACACTCGGCCCCTTCTCGCCGCCGCCGGCAGCAAGACAGATCCTCCCTGACCCTCTTGCCCCGCCCGCCCCGGACCTGCCCCTCGCCGGTAGCCCCGCAGGCTGGCGAGCTCCTCCTTCGGGGCCAGGGGCTCGGGGAGGGCAGCTGAACGCAAAGAGGGATGAGGTGCCACCCCGCAAAGCCCACTGCCCCGACCCTTCCCGCCTCCTCCTCCTCCTCCTCCTCCACCATCGATCTCCTTATCCTCTTCCCCCCTCCTCCTCCACATACCCTCTTCCTAGTGACAGGGAAGGGTTCATCGCATAAGCGGGCATAAGAGAGAGAGAGAGGGAAAAAGAGTTCGACAAAAACAACATGTGAGCCAAGGTGACCCCAAACAATGATTTGTTGCAAGATACGCGGTGCAAACTAGGTGGTGCAATTAATTTCTGTTCGCAGTGGGTTGTCCACTCCACTGCTCGCGCAAACATCCCACCCACCCACCCGCAACTTGGTTTGCAAAATCTCTTCAGACCGTGACGGTGGGTACCACATGGCACTTGGCAACAACAGCGACGCCGACGACGACAGCGACAACGACGATGACGACGCCGCCGACAACGACTACGACGACACCGACGACGTCTCCAACGACTTCGACGACGCCGACAACGACGACGACGACGACGACGACGACACCGACGACGACGACGACGACACCGACGCCGACGACGACGACGACGACAACGACGACGACGATGACGACGCCGACGACGACGACGACGACGACGACGACGACGACGACGACGACGACGACGACGACGACGACGACGACGACGACGACGACGACGACGACGGACGGCGACGACGACGACGCCGACGTCGACAACGACGAAGATGACAACGACGCCGACGCCGACGACGACGACGAAGACGACGACGACGTCGCCAACGAAGACATCGAGGAAGGAGGGAGGACGACGACGGCGACAACGACGACAACGACGAGGGAGGAGGGAGGACGGCGACGACGCGAACGACGAAGAAGGAGGAAGGACGGCGACGCCGACGACGGCAACGACGAGGGAGGAGGGAAGACGACGACAACGACAACGACGACGACGACGACGACGACTGCGACGAAATAGGAGGGACGACGACGAGACGCCGACGACGGACGACGACGACGACGAGGGAGGAGCAGGAAGGGCGATCACGGCGACAACGACGACGGAAACGACCACGACGCCAAAGAGGATGACGACGACGAACACGAGGAAAGACAGAGGACGACGTAGGCGACAACGACGACGACGACGACAACGACGCGAGAGGAGGGAGGACGGCGACGACGACGACGACGACGACGACGACGCAAGAGCGCGCGCGCGCACGCACGCTTTTGCTGAAAATTCGTGTTGCGAAACCTTGTGTTGTTGTATGTTTTTTGGACAAACGATTTTGAAATCCTTCCGAAACCGATGGGTGTTGAAGGTTTTCGGCATACGCGCGCGACGACGCGCGCGTCTGCACTTCGTCCCATTTTGTGCAAGGGATTCTCGCGACGGCACACGCGTCAGGGCGTTCGACAGATTTCGACATGAGCGCGCGCTAAGCCCGTTGGGTAGCATGTTGTGTAAATATTGAAAAACGCATGGTTTTCTGGAGATTTCGCAAGAACTTTCGCGGAAGCTGTTTTAGCAACTCTGTGTTGCGAAACCCTGTGTTTTTGTATGTTGTTTGGGAAACTCGATTGCGAAATCCTTTCCGCACCGAAGGTTTTTGAAGGATTTCGGCATGCGTGCGCGACGACGCGCGCGTGCGCACTTCGTCTCATTTGTTGCAAGGGATTCGCGAAAAAGTGCTATGTTAGAACAAAAATGTCACCGCATAGTGTTTTTTTACCAGGGAACCTCAGGGGGGGAACCCGGTTTGGCTGGGATGGTACGATTTCATATTTAGGATGGACGAGTGTGCATAATATATATATATATATATATATACATATACATACATACATATACATATACATATACATATACATATACATATATATATATATATATATATATGAAATCGCACTATCCCAGGGGGAGCCGATAAGTCCGGGGGGGGCAGGGGGGTAGAATCTATTAATCTCTTACAAAGGGGAATCCAAGTGGTGCAATCTAGGTGATGCAATCCACGTGGTGCAGTCTAGGTTGGGCAAAACATTGCACAGCAATGCCAAGCAATGCATTGTGCCCATCTATGTGGTGCAATCTATGTGGTGGTCTTACGCAATGTAGAACACTGATGGGCAATGCAAAACAATGCGAAGCAATAGAAAGCAGTGGAAGGCAATGGAAAGCAAAACGAATCCATGGAAAGCTAAAAACAATGCAAAGCAGCAAAGCGACGGGCGGCGAAGAGCTGGCCAGACCGCAACTGGGGGCCAGCGGCGACGGCAGCGCCGGGCGGCGACGGGCGGCGACGAACTGGCCACACCGACGCAAGGGCCAGCGGCCACGGCGGCGGCGGGCACCGACGCGCGGCCAGACAGATTCTGGGGCCCACTTACCTTAGAACACAAGTACGAACCCCTGAATGCAAGCACTGATTGAAGAACAGAACGCAACGAGAGAGAGATAGCGAGAAAAAAAATGTTTTGCCGAACGCACAAAAAACTGTTGGAAGAAGGGATCACGTCCTGTACATGTTAGCCAGCGTGGGCCCCAACCAGTGTGTTTCTAGCAACGTATGCTGTGCAATGTATGCCGGGGTAATATATGTAGTGCAACATAGGTTGTGCAACATACGTGTTGCAATATACGATGTGCTATATGCGTGGTACTATCTACGTTGTGTTGGCAAATGCCACGCTCCTGCAAACATCCCACCCCACCAACCCACCCGCAACTTGGTTTGCAAAACCCATGCAGCGGCGACTGCGATGAGTGCTTGGCGTTGGCTGGTGCATGTCCGCAGCCGCGCGAGCCCGCGCATGCTCGCGCGCACAGCGGCCAACCAGTTTGACGCGACCTACGCGGCCGCGGTGGCGCGGACCGCTAAGCACTTCCCAGCAAGAATTGCAGTGCGAGTCGGTGACTTGGGCGGGCGCGATATCAGAGCGACGCCGACAACGGTCGACACGAATATGAGGGTAGCGATGATGGCGACGATGGTGGCGATGACGACGGCAAGGCAAATGACGGCACCGACGTTGATCACGCCCGCCGATGACGATGACAGTTTTTGATCGAGTTCGACATGCGCGCGCGGCCGACGCGCGCGAATGGCCCGCGCGGTGTTATTTGACACGGGTCGTACCCCCACCACCACCACCACCACCCAGCATGCGCACACTGGCGGCGCGACAGGCCCGTTTGGCAGAATGTTGGTGGAAATGGTGAGAAACCAGCCGTTCTCAAAAATCCGCAACAGCGGTGCGCGGGTTTTTTCTTCCGAAACGCAATGCTGCAAAACCATATGTATATAGTTGCCTGCGGGGCACTCGATTGTGCAATCCTTACATAACCTGAGGGTTGCTTGATTTGAAAAATTGCGCCACGCGTGCGCGACGACGCGCGCGCGCACTCCGTCGTATCTTGCGCAAGCGATTCCTGCGACAGCGCGCGCGCACGGGCGTTTGAACAATTTCGACGCGCGCGCGAGATGCCAATCTGGAAGCAAACCATGAAAATGTTCAACGACTACCCTGAGACGCACCCAACCCAGCTGCATTCAGTGGCAGGAGGCGTTGGCCCAAACCTGCCAGGACAACAACAGCGCAGGCGCCGTCGCACGTTGCGCAGGCTACGCGGGGCGCGCGCGCGCGGCACGATTCACGGGACCACGGCGACAGCAGGACGAGGAACGAGGGCCCAGGCTCGAAGGGGACACGCGGGCGGGAGCGAAGAGCAAGAGAAGGGCGCTAGGGGGGGGGGCGGCAGCCAGCGCGGCAGCAGCAGGGAGAAGGTGGCAAGGCGAGGTGGACGACGACGAAAGCGACGGGAGGAGACAGGAGGGCGTTGCTTTCGTCGGCGGCACGCCAAAGACGCAGCGCTGCCTGCGCCATGTCGCCGCGCGCTCGGCATGGTCAAACCTGCCTGGCGCGAGAAGCGAGCGAGGCCTGGCCCGCCCGCCAGTCTCTCCGCCTCTGTCGCGCACCTTTTCAGCGCGGGAGTTGGACGCACGAAGGCGCGCCGCCAAGTCTGCGGGCGACCCGCGGGTAAACTTCACAAAAACAACGGGTGACACGTGGCACCCCCGAAACCGTATAATAAAACCCGATTGGCAAATTGGGATTTCTGGGAGCCATCATAAGGCCATCCTGGTTCACAAAAACGACGGGTGACACGTGACACCCCGAGAACCGTTTGAGAAAAATCAGATGTAAATTCAGGATTCAGTGAACCAACATATGGCCATTCAGCTTCACAGAAACAACGGGTGACACACGTGATCCCCGAAACCGCGTGACAAAACCCGATTGGCAAATTGGGATCCTGGGAGCCATCATAAGGCCATCCTGGTTCACAAAAACAACGGGTGACACGTGTCACCCCGACAACCGTCCGAAAAAATATAAATTCAGGATTCTGTGAGCTAGCATACCGCGTTTCAGCTTCACAGAAACAACGGGTGACACACATGATCCCCGAAACCGCGTGGCAAAACCCGATTGGCAAATTGGGGTTCTGGGAGCCAACACACGGCCATGTAGCTTCACAAAAACAACGGGTGATACGTGCCACCCCCGAAACCGCGTGACAAACCCCCATTGTAAAAGTGAGATTCTGTGAGCCAACACACGGCCATTTAGCTTCACAAAAACAACGGGTGACACGTGTCACCCCCGAAACCGCGTGACAAAATCCAATTGTAAAAGTGGGATGCTGGGAGCTAACATAAGGCCATCCAGCTTCACAAAATCAACGGGTGAAACGTGTCACCCCCGAACCCGTGAGACAAAACGCAATTGTAAAATTTAGATTTTAGGAGCCAACATTTGGCCATTCAGCTTCACACCAACAACGGGTTACACGTGTTCCCCCCGAAACCGTGTGAAAAAAACCAATTGTAAATTTGGGATTCTGGGAGCCAGCGGGTGACACGTGTCACCCCGAATACCGTGTAAGAGAACCCAAGTGTACAGTTGAGATTTGGGGGCCAATTTACGGCGTCTCAGCTTCACAAAAACAGCGGAACCCAGAGGTCTAGGACCAGGGGATCCTAGAGCCCTGGAGTCTAGGGCCCAGGGGTCTAGGGCCCAGGAGTCTAGGGCCCAGGGGTATCGGGCCCCGGTGCCTGGGGCCATGGGTCCAGAGGGCCCAAGCGGGGAAGAAACAACGAAACGAACATCGAAACGCCAAGGCGACAGGGGAAAGAAACGAAACGACAAACGAAACGAAATTGAAGGGAACACCCGATCGATGGCTGAGGCTACGGCAGAGGCTGGGGCCCAGGCTGACGATCAGGCCAGGAGCGCAACAACAATAACGAAGGGAAACAAGGAAACGAAAAACGAAACGAACGCCCGGAAACTGAGCCAGAGCGAAAGGCGACAGAAACGAAACGAACAACGAAACGAACGACGAAACGAAACGAACGACCAGAATTATGGCTGGGGCTACGGCAGAGGCTGGGGCCCACGTTGAAGCTCTGGACAGGAGCGCAACAAAACAACAGGAGCAACAACAACGAAACGAAAAACGAAACGAACGCCCCAAAACTATGGTTCAAGCGAGGGGAACATAATTGCTCGGCCTCGAATCACCTAAAATGGAAGACAACATCAATAACATAACGAAACAATAATCGAAACATTAAACCACAAACAGTATCTTATCACACGCAAAGAGAAAAACGAAAGACGACGGCGGCGCGAAACGAAACGAACCACGGACTTAACCGAAACAACCAAAACGAACAACGAAACTCAACCTTGGAATCGCGGCGAAACAAAACGGACAGCGAAACGAGCACAAATAAACGTTCAACATTCAAACGCGCTTACAACGACAGAGAACAACGCAATGGAAGCACAACGAACAACAAAACGAACTAAACATCGTTGTGGTCGGTCCCTGGGTGCAAACAATGCCAAACAATGCAACGCAATGCGATTGCCAAGCAGCGCGACTACAATGCAACGGAACGCAACGCAACGCAACCCAATACAATGCAATGCAATGCGATGCAAGCAATGCGAAGCGATGCAAAGCGATGGAAGGCAATACAAAGCAACGCAACGCAATGCAAAGCAAGGCAGAGCAATGCAAAGCACGGCATAGCAATGCAGAGCGATGCAAAGCAATGCAGAGCAATGCAACGCAATGCGATGCAATGCAATACAATGCAAAGCACGGCATGGCACGTGATAGCAACGCAAAGCAATGCGACGTAATGCAAGCCCAGACGACGGGCATCGACGAGGCGGCGACGGGGCGGCGACGGGGCGGCGACGGGGCGACGACATAGCCAGGCCGACCACCAGGCCCAAACGACGGGCTGCGACGAGGCGGCGACGGGGCGGTGACGGCGACTACACAGCCGCCAGACCGACCCCCACGCCCAGTTCCTTGCTCCAGGAGTAGGAAGCCCTAAGTGCAAGCTCTGTGTGGGGAATAGAAACGAATGGAGGATTGGAGGAGAGAGGGAGAGATAGGAATGGAGAGAGAAAGAGACAGAAAAAACAAATTACTCCAGTGCGACCCTACCTAGAAGTTGGAGCACCTAGGAAAGCAGCATTAGTTGCTATGCTATGCTATGCTATGCCATGCTGTGCTGCGCTATGCTATGCTATGCTATGCTATGCTGCGCTGTGCTATGCTGTGCTGTGCTGTGCTGCGCTATGCTATGTTCTGCTATGCTATGCTGCGCTAAGCTATGCTAAGCTGGGCTATGCTATGATATGCTGTACTGCGCTATGCTATGCTACGCTCTGCTATGCTATGCTGTGCTCTGCTATGCGAAAGCTCCGCGAAGTTAAGATGAAGGTCAGCTAAGCTAAGATAAACCTGAGTTAAGATGAAGCTAAGCTAAGCTAAGCTAAGCTAAGCTAAGCTAAGCTAAGCTTAGCTTAGCTAATATGAAATGAGCTAAGCTAAGATGAGATAAGCAACGCTAAGCTAAGGAGACGTAACTGGGGGAACCGCGGGGCGGATGCCGGGGGAACCGCCCGGGGCGTTCTACACTGCCCGGCCCCTGTAAGATAGAGAGTAAGAACCCTGTCTAGGCCGAGCCGAGGTAGGGGGAAAAAAAGAGAGAGGAATGGAGAGGAGTGTGTGGGGGGGAGAAAGAGAGAGAGAGAGAGAGAGAGAGGAATGGAGAGACGGCTCGGCTTCTCGCTGTCCGCCCGGGCGCCGCGCGGCAAGCCGCGCGTGCGCCCTTCGCTCGGAGCTGGCGCACGGCGACGTTGACGAGAGGCGAGGAAAAGACGACCCCGGCGCACGACGGGGCGCGCGACAGAGCTGAGGGAACCGAGACCCCGAGCGACGCGCAAGCACGACCTGGAGGAGCAGTAGGTGAGGCGACCTGGGAGTTGCCGTCAGAGGCGGGAGCGCCTCCGAGTGACGCCGCGTCAGGCGCCACCCCGAGGCGAGGGGGTCCCCCCCGTTGGGCACCCCAGGCGGAGGGTGGTCGGCGACTCTTTGCGCCGCGATTTTGAAACGTCGTCAGGATCGGGTTTCGAAGCCCTCTGGCCAGCCCCATACGAGGGAGGGGACCAGGTGGGGGTGGAGGTGCCCCCCAAGCCTGGCTCAAAGCTCTCCGGCCCAGCCCTGGAAAGCGGGCGGGGGGGACAGGATGGGGTGGAGGTGCGATCCCTCTCCAGCGTCCCAGACAGTCCCCGGACAAGTTCCCAGACAAGCTGGGATGAAGACCCGGAGCTTGCCTACCTGCCTAAGGAAAAAAGAAAACGACGAACGAGGCGAGGGGGGTGACGACGACGACGACGACGACGACGACGACGAAGAACGACGACGACAACGACGACAACGACGACGACGACGACGACGACGACGACGACGACGGCGACGGCAACCGCCCCGCGCAGCGCCGTCGGCCCGCAGCGCCCTCTCTGGGCCCCCCGTTCGCCCGAGGCGCAGGTGGTCTAACGATGACCTTTTTTCCTCGTCCAAAAACCCTTCTTCCCCTTCGTTGAGGGGCTTACCCCTCCCCCTACCCCCTAGACGTGTCTCTCAGTCCCTTCTCCCGTCAGCTCTGAAGGACAGGGTTTCTGAATGGGCTGGTGGGGGTATTTTTTTGACCGCGACCGCGGCGAGACAGGTCGGGCGGCGTAAAGGAACGAAGCGCAGATGCATCGGCCTAAATAAGCGCAAAGGAGGAGGAAGGCGAACAGAGGAAGAGGACGAACGCGGAAGAGGAAAGACCAAGCGGGGGGGCAAACAGGAGGCGAGCCTCGCTTCCGCTCAGAAGACGACGCACACCTGGAAGAGTTTCCAGGCGAACTGCAGCACCAGGATGGTGTAATTCGAGGGCAGCTCCGCGTCCACGTAGAAGACCTCCAACTAGACGGGCAGCGGGTCCACGACGAGCCGTTGGACCGCGCAACGTAAGACAGCGAGATCACCACTGCGAGGGAGATCCCCAGCATGCACGCGCTCAACAGACCAAAGCTGGTGGGGATACTTTTCCGTTCGCGAGCGACACGGAACAACCGCGCGCCGCCAAAGAGCGAAGCAACAGCGCCACGAAGCTGGTGGGGATATGCTTTGATCGCGACCGCGAGCGGACACCCGCGCGGCGTCACAAAGTCGAGCAGAAAAGCGAGGGGCCGCTACGCCGAGCCGGCTGCACGGCACCGCGGGCAAAGCAGGAGGGAGCGAAACGACGGAGAAAGCGAAGAGCAAGAGAAAACTGGTGGGGATACTTTGTAGTCAACGGCCGCGGGCAGAGGCGCCGACGGCGTGTCAAGTCGAAGCGGGGCGCGCCACAGACTAATTAACAGCAAACTGGGGCACAGTACTGCCAGGGTGCGCATGCAAGCAAGAGGCCGAGGCTGAATACCTGGTGGGGACTTTTCGGTCGCGGGCGGACGCGGATTCGCGGGTCGCCGAGCTGAGAGGTCCGGGCCACAACTGGTGGGGATACTTTTTTGGTCCGCGGCTCCGAGGCGAGAGACAGGGAGCGAGCACAACGTCCGGGGCGCGGAGCGTGAAGAATTTCTCGGTCCCCCAGCTTCGCGCAGCACGTCCCGCGATGCGCTGCCTGCGGTGCTATGCGCGCCCTCGCGCCGCCGCCCTGGAGAGGAGCGCGTCTCCAGCACGGGCCGCGGCGCGCGAAGCGCGGCCCACTTCGCGCGCCTGCGGGCCACCTGGGGATCCAGAGGGCATCGCATCGGAAGTCTGCTCGGGTCGGTGCGGCCAGAAACGGCATCGGATCGGACCGGTCGGGTCGAAGGGGCCCCTGGAAGGCGGGGAGCACGAGGGCCTGCGGAGCCCCAAGGCCTGGCCGAGATCGGCGCGCCCCTCCGGGGCGCCACTCGCGGCGTCGGGGAGGTGCTCGAGAGCGGTCGTGGTCTCCGCTCAGCGGCCGCGCTCTGCTCACGTCTGGCCGCAGTCGGCTCGCGGTGGCCTCGGGCAGAGGCCACCGCGCGCCGACTGCGGGCCAGGAGCTGCAGGAGTGAACGAGCGCTCGAATCCCAGTCGGCTCGACCTCGCTGGGCCGATCGGCCATCTGCAGGCTGCCAGGGGTCCTTGGTGCGGTCCGCCAGGTGGGTGATCTTCGCCTGCGCGGGGGCACCGCCAGCGGCCACGGGGCCGATTCCGAAGCCAAGCAGGCACATGTGAACCCTGCCCCTGCAGGTCAGCTTTCTGAAACGCCTGCTGGAGCTCAGCATTTGGAGGATGTCTGCAACCAAGTTCACCCAAGCGGGGGTGTCCGATACCCCAGCGTCGATTGGACCCGCAGGGGTAGGGTTCGCAACCGCTTGCAGAGAAGCAGCACAGGGGTGGGGAGGCGACCGCGAGAACGCACGGAGTAGAACGACCACTGGAAGAGAAGGGGGCGGGGAGGAGGTGGGGGCGACCGTGAGGCGGAGGGCGAGCGGGCAGGAGACGATGGTGACAAGGCGTCGGCCGAGTGCCACGGGATGCTGGGGGTGGGGGGCCCGAGGGGGAATGCGGGGCACGGGGCGGAGCGGGAGATGGGAAGATCGAGAGGCGGGGCTGAGGCGGAACCGCGGGAGGTGAGAGGCAGGAGCGGGGCACGGGATCTGGGCGAGACGGTCCTGGCTGTCCCGCGCCTGGCCAACGCAAGAGCGGGGCACGGAAGGAGGGGGGCAGCGCCCAACACCCGAGCGACCCGCCCGCCAGCCTCCGTCCACCGCGCGAGAGGCACGGCTCCCGCCCCTGCGTCCTCCTTCTCGGCGGGGCGACTTCGGCGGGCCGCGAGCCCCCAGGGCTTGGCTCTGGAAGTCGGGGATGTCCTCAGGGTACAGGTCGAAGGTGAAGAGGAGTGTCTCCTCCCACCCGACGTGGTGCTGGATCGGATCGGAGGCCCCCCTAAAGGGCTGAACTGAGAGCCAGTGCCCGGGGCGTGCAACTCCAAGTATGGGAGCTGCATGCCCCGTGGTGCTGGACGAGGAGCAGGAAGAGGAGGAGCAGGAGGAGGAGGAGCGAACGACGCGCTAGGAGGAGGAGGAGGAGGAGGAGGAGGAGGAGATGGAGGAGGAGGAGGAGGAGGAGGAGGAGGAGGAGGAGCAAGGTATCGATTCTACTTAACGCTACTAGGTGCCGCCGGGGAGAGGGGGCAGGGCTGAGCTGCCGCCCCTCCTCAGCAGCGAAGGTGCCGCCAGGGCGGGGGGCGGGGCTTAGCCTCAAGAAGTCACCAGCGGCCGCAGCATCGAGCATCGAAGGGAGAGGAGGAGGAGGAGGAGGAGGAGGACGACGACGACGACGACGACGAAGGACGACGACGACGGACGACGACGACGACGACGACGACGACGACGACGACGACGACGACGACGAAGGACGACGACGACGGACGACGACGACGACGACGACGACGACGACGACGACGACGACGAACACGAACACGAACACGAACGACGACGACGACGACAACGACGACGACGACGACGACGACGACGACGACGACGACGACACGGAGGCGGCGACGACGACACGGAGGCGGCGCCCCCCCACCCCGGAAGGCCGCAGAGACCCTGGTCGCCTGCCACAGCCGGGCGGGGTCGCTGTTCTGCCTCCTCACGGCATCTGCGTGCGCCTCCCCGGGACTTGGCCGCCCAGCGACGGGGACTCAAGCACGCTCCCCGGCCCAGCCGAACCTGGAAGAAACCCCCTCTCGACACGGAAGAGGTCCCGCTTCTTTCTGATCCTGCTCCACCTCCACCGCCACCTCCACCTCCCCCTCCTCCTCCTCCTCCTCCTCCTCCTCCTCCTCCTCCTCCTCCTCACTCATTCACTCTCATGGCGGACTTGGTCGCAGACCTGAAGCCATCTTCTCCTCCTCCTCCTCCTCCTCCTCCTCCTCCTACTCATCCTACTCCTCCTCCTCAGGAATGAATGCCTGGGGGGGTCTTTCCATCGTCTCCAGCAGGCGTGTCGTGGCAAGTGGCGGAATGTCAGAGGCCCAGTTCCGGCTGTTCGAGCCAAGCTGCCTGATCTAGGGTGGGATCCCAAGGAGGCTTGTCTCTGGCAGCGGCGCACCCAGAGTGGACTTGTGGAGGACTGGTCTGCCCAAACTTCCACGAATCCAGCCTACGACTCGTCCGATTCAGGTTACGACTCGTCCGATGTTGATGTTTCAGAGCTCCATAAAGACTTGTCTTCGGATCGTGGATCGCAGTTGCGGGCTGCGGCGGCCCAAGACGAGGCTGGATCTGATTTGCAAGATGGATGGGACCTGCTTCGTGGTTTGCGATGGCCGTTGTCGGGGAAGCGCAGTGGCCTCGGGTTAGACAGCTCCCCTTGGCGCCCCAAAGGAGCACCTGTGCCCCCCCTGTATGAAGCGCCCTGGAACCTCGATGCACCGAACTTGGCTTTGCGAGCCAAGTCGTTCAACTCGCTGGCCCGCCCCGAGCGGGAGGTTGAAAGCACCGCACCTCCCTGACAGGGGCAGGCAGCCACGTGCGAAACATAGCCTTGCTGGCCCCTTGGCCCGACTACTGGGGAGGAGGGGAGCGACACCGCCGGGAACTCAGAAACTGCGAGCGGACACCGGCGGAGTGGGCCTCCACCTGTCCAACCCTCGGGGAGCGGGGGCTGGAGCTGGACGGTGTCACCGAAGAGGGGGGGGCCGAAGAATTGCTGACGAGCAGTCGGCTTCAACAGGGTGGCACGTCGACCCTGCTTCAGACCCCTCTGTACTCTTTTTTTATGCCACGTGTACTGTACCCTCGAACCACTTCCCACCTTGTACAGTTCTGCCCGCATGATGTACTCTTCGGAGCCCTTGTCGTACTCGCGACCGTGCAAATCGATAAAACTGTCGAACGTCATGTTGCTTGTCAGGTTGAGCCTCACATTCTGCGACATGTCCGTGTGCCCGAATGTGGCGTCAAAGTAGGCCCAGACACCCAAGCCAGATGCTCGCCCTGGTGCCAACATGCGGTGGGATGGGGACGACGATAAGACCAAGTCAAATTTCATGCAAACAAAAAAAGGAACAGACGGGAGAAACAAAGACGCAGAGAGAGGGAGACGTAAGGACAGCTGAGAAGAGATGGATGGGGGGGTGCAACGTCAAGCGTGCTGCCTTGGAATTAAGCGCCAGAGGACGGTGAGCATGACAAAACGGTGATATTGGTAGCAAGCGTGCCAAGTCTACCAACTTGTCGCAGCGTATCGCGAGTGATGACCCCGTCCGAAAGTAGTACGACCGCCCAGGCCAAGGGAGCAGGCGCTACGCATTCGGTCAACTGGTTGCCCCATGCGCCCAGGCTGGCAGCCTCGGGAGTACGTGCTCGGACTGGATCTTTGGAGTGCACAGTCTCATGGAGCGCACAATCAAGTAGCTACAACAAGGAACGCCAAGTAGGGAACGAAGTCGCTTGTTGGAACCAAAAGCGCCTGGCTGCACGAGGTGCGCTAATTAGAAGAACAACGGTGGAAGGCTTTGACGAAAAGCGAGCCCGCCTCCGAAACCGAGAGGGTTTGCATTCCGGCGTCTTGACAGAGCATCGAGCCAGCCCCGCGCGTCGACGCACCAGCTCTGCACTCCCAGCGGCGAGGGGGAGGACCGCGGCCCCTTCGCCCACCCACCACTCATTTGATTTGTCAGCGGCGCAGACGAAGCTCAGGCGCGATGCACACATGCAAAAGCGAATCGCAACCGAAGTTCGTCGGAACGCGCAATGAAGGATACGTCCACCACTGCAGTGTAGTAGAAAGGATGGTGAAAAGAAAAACATAAATACAGCAGATTGCAAAGAGTGAATGGATGGCGCGATGGGAGTGCAGCCCCAAGAGGCGTGCATTGGCTTGAACCCGAAGAGTACGCAGAGCGAGCTCGAGTCAAAAAGAACTGGAGCGCGAGCAGACTGGTGCAAGTGAAGGCAAAGGGTCACCGACAAATGATAACCCAACGAGCGTGCTGCGGCCAGAGCCCGTGGAGCACGATAGCTCGACCCAAGGCAGCCTGAAGCGCCGATACAAATCACAACATGTGAAACTGCCAAGCCAGCCGATTGGTGGGGCAACGCCGAAGGCTAGGCCCGGCAGGACGGAAGGCCCTACGCACCGGCGGCGCAAGAGATAACACTGGCGGGCGCTGCATTCACAGGCCGCGGCAGCACCACAACAACGGGCCCGACGCTATGACGGCAAAACATGGCGGTGACGGAGCGCAGTTCGCGTAAAAAAACACACACCAGCGGGGCCGAAGCCAGCCAAAATCGCCATGCCGTGACACCTATGGTCGATGAATAATTTCTGTCCGTGGTGACTTGTCAACTCCACTGCTCGCGCAATCATCCCACTCGCCCACCCGCAACTTGGATTGCAAAACCATGCGGCGGCGATTGCGATGAGTGTTTGGCTTTGGCTTGTGCATTTCTGCGGCCGCGCTAGCCCGCGCATGCTCGCGCGCGCAGCGGCCAAGTAGTTTGGCGCGACCGACGCGGCCGCGGTGGCGCTGACCGCTGGGCGCATCCCAACGGGCACTTCACTGCGAGTCGGCGACTTGGGCGGGCGCGGAATCATGGCAACGCCGACAACGGCACACGCGATAATAACCATACCGGTGGTGGTGACGATGATGATGACAATGGCTACGGCACGGCCGGTGACGGCGCCGATGATGATCACGCCGACGACCATGACGGCGTCCTCGCGTCGGTGATGAAGGTTCCGGCAGGAATTCGACATGCGCGCGGCCAATGCGCGACAGTGGCCCGCATGGTACAACTTGGCACGGGTCGTGCCCTCCCAGCGCGCGCGCAAGACGTTCGAATGATTTCGGCGTGCGGCGCGAGAGGTCCTTTTGGCAGCATACCATGAAACTGCTGAAAAATCCGCCGGAATTCTTGAAACTTGCAAGAGCGCGAGCGCGCGCTTTTTGAAAACTGATGTCGCGAAACCATGTGTTGTCTCTGGTTATTTGGACACTCGATTTTGAAATTCCTACGAAACCTAATATGTTCGATGGATTGCGGCATGCGCGGGCGACGGCTCGCGCGCGCGCTTCGCCCCTACTTGTTGCAAATCATTCTCGCGACAGCACGCGCGCAAGGGTGTTCGGACAATTCCGACATGCGCGCGCGAAGCCTGCTTGGCATCGCGCTACGAACACGCTGAAACAACCAAATGGTTTTCTGGTGACTTCGCAAGAGCGCGCGCGCAAACTATTTTTGAGAAAAACCTCGTTGCGAAACAATATGTGCTTCATGCGTTTTGACACTTGATGTTGAAATCCTTGCGACGCCGAAAGTTGTTGCATGATTTCGGGGCGCGCGCGCGGCGACGCGCGCGCGCGTGCCGCATTTCTGCTGCAAGGGATCCTTGGAAACTGATGGTTTGTGATAAACGAGCGCGCGCAGAATATTTCGTCGCCGAGGATGAAAGGGGGGGGGGGGTCAATACCGCAGGGGCTGGAATGGCATGAATTCACATTTTACATGGGATGGGCGACGGGGCAGAAGCACATGCAAATTGCAAAACGAAATGGGCGCCGATAATCCCGGGGGGGTAGAATCCAACCCCTCGCAAGACAGGAAAAACAAAACACCGAGAGAGGCCAGCGTCATCGACGTGTCCGGGCCAGACAAAAAGAAACTGCAATAGGGGCGCCGACCGACATGAAGCGGCGGGCGCCGTTCGAGCAGCGCGGCAAAGACGCGGAGTGCACCGCGCGCGCCGACGTCAAAGTCACCGCCACATCGACCAAGGACACCCCGCAAAGGAAGAAGAAAAGAGGAGGAAGGATGAACAAGGGCACAATAGAAGCGCACCGCGCCAGCAGACCGCCAGGCGCGCGCGCAGAGGCGGGGCGCGGGCCTAGCGCGACGCCGCCGAACTGCGCGCAGCGAGCTCTCCAAGCAATCCGGCTCTGGCCCCCCGGCCGCTTGATGCGGAGGTGCCCGCCAAGCCAGCCGGGCGCCCGGCCGAGTCAGGCCCCTTGGCCGCCCCGGGCCAGCCAATCGGGCCTGCCGAAGCCGGCGGGGCGCAAGCGGGGCGCGAGCGCCAGCCGGCTGCCACCCGCGCGTGGGCAGGGAGCACAGGAAGTCCATCACGACCTGTCGCGGAGCCATTTCTGGGCGAGTTCGCCCCTTCCATGATTTTCTGTAGTCCCGGGCGAAATGGCCCCAGCGTTCGCGAGTCCACGGCGAATCAGCTCACGCCTCCTCGACCATCAGCCAGAAGTCGCCCCGCGCATGCCAGGCGAGGCGAGGTCTGTCTCCAGACGGCGCCTCCGCAGCAGGCGCGCGCGTCGCGATCGGTGGAGGACTGGCGGAAGGCGCGCGCTGGTCGCGCGCCGCTGCCTCCGCCTCGCTGCCTCCGCCGCCCGCGGCGACGGCCGCCTGTCTGCAATCCTCGACGCAGCCGCCAAGACGGCCGGCGCGAGCACTGGACCTCCGTTCGCGCGCCCGAGTCGCCCGCAGCTGCGCCGTCCGCGCCGCGCGCGCGGATGTCCAGGCCGCCCCCTTCCTCGGCCTGGGCCGGCGGCCGCGCGGTCTCACTGGTCAGCGCGGACTGGCAAGGTGCCGGCGAGCTCGCCGGAACGCCCGCGCCTTTTCGGGAGTCGATACGGCGTCGCCCTCGCGGCCCGCTCGCTGGGGGCGCTGGGCCAGTTCGCTCGCGGAGCCCTCTCTGCCCTCGCGCGTCCGTCCGCCGCCGCGATGCTCGACCAGGCCTGAGCTGTCGCGGCCGGGCGACGCAGGCCGCAGCGGCGCACGGCGCCCGTTCGCAACAAGGCAGCGCAGCGCAAGCTCGCCCTGCCCTCCCGGGCCCAGGGTCGTCGGGCAGATACCGGTCAGAGAAATATGGATCCAGGTGCCCTTCCTCGTCGCCCCATCCACTCGAACGGAGAGGGGGCGCCCGAAGATCTAGGGGTCGCCGCCCCTGCCCCCCAGGGGCCCCCCTGCGCCCCGCATCGCCCGGAGATCGACGGGCGTGGCCCGCGCAAGATCGACGAGATTGGAAGTGTAGCGTCGACAAGATCGGCGGCGTAGCATCGACGGGGTTGGCGCGCGCAGGATTGACCTGCGAGGGCTCGCGGGGGGCGTCCTGCTTCGCGATCGGCGCCATCCCTGCGGCGCTCGGACCAAGCGAGATTCGTTCGGCACCAACGCCCAGAGCCACCTCCTCGACCACCCTGTCGACGCCGCCTCCCGCGACCGCACCGACGGCTTCCTTCATCGCGACGCCCCCCTCCTCTTCCATGGCCACCTCCGCGTCGCCCTTCGCGCCATCCTCATCGCGCGCGTCGTCGATGGCGTCTCTCACCTCCTCCGCGCCCTCCCCGAATTCCGCGGCGACCTCCTCCACCTCCTTCGCGCTGCCCCCGCTTCCGACCGCCATCTCCTACCCCCTGGCCTCCTCAATCTCCTCGTCGACCCTTCCGACGCCCACCTCCACGACCTCCTCCACCTCGTCGTCGCCGTCGTCGGCCGCCACTGCCCATTCTCGCGCGCGCTGACCAAAGAGCTGCGACAGATGATGGCGCGCTCCAGCATCACACCCAGCACCTCGCTGAACAGCGCCAGGGCCGGCAGCCGCTGCCCCTGCGCGCCCTTCTCGCGCGCGCTGATCGGGGTGCTGGGACAGAAAATGGCGGGCCCCAGCTTCACTCCGACAATCTCTCGGAGCTGCGTCAGGGCCGGCTGCCGCTGCCGTCGCCAGTTCTTCCTGCAAGCACTGATCGGGTCGCTGAAGCAGATAATAGTGGGCCCGACCTCCACAGCCAGCACTGGCACGCGTGCCCGTCTCGCACGCACTGATGGGGGCGCTGCAGCAGATGATCTCGGGCCCCACCTCGGCCCCCAGAATCTCGCTGAGCGGCGCTAGGGCCAGCAGTCGCTGCCCCTGCCTGTTTGCCCAAAACCCAGCGTCAGATTTTTCAGAGTTTCAAAGGAATTGCCACTCTGAGACGATGGCG